TTATTAACAAAAGCAAAGGTTTAATAAAGTATTAGGAACGCCACGCACTGTGTTCTCTTGATTTCCACAGGTCCATGAACTCAAGACAAACCCACCATGATTTCAACCATTTTACAGATAAGGAAACAGAGGCCTAAAAAGTTAAAACCACCTACCTGCCCAAGCTCACACTGGTAGTGAAGGTTTTCAATCTCAGCCTCAAATACTGGCCATTTTAGATGTGACTGTCATCCAATGATGAAATAAAGGGACCTCTTAATGTTCTCATTATTCAAAACGGGCGACCCTAGAGGGCATTATGCTGAAATATCTCAGTCACAAAAGGACAAATACTGCATGGTGCCACTGTTGTAAAACGGGACTGACATCGGGGTTGGGGGAAGACAAAGAGGGGATAAATTTTATATACTGCATTGAAACAGAAGAGGGAGAGAACTGTTGAAAAGGGATATGTGATTAGGTATTCTTGTCATGACAGGAGTCAAGAACGAAGGCTGCACAGTGGAGTGGACCTGGGGGGGGCAGGGACTGCATAACAAATAGTTTTTCTTTTACTTTTCAAGGAGAAGAGCGAAGTGGGGGGGATGGGGTGGGCAGGGAGAAAACTGCAACAATGAATGGAAATCCAAAGTCTCTCTAAATTTTCATTTAAATTCATAATAATAAACAGTGTTCTCAGAATAGTGTCTGGAGTAAGACTGCCAGGCTCATCCTTTGGCCCTGTCACTGACCAGCTCTGCTTCCTTGGGAAGATTACTTCATCTCTGTGTCCTCGTTTTCTCCACTATTAAACAGAGTAGCAGACTCTGCCTCCACGAGTTATGGGAGCATCACAGGAGTTTATAAATGCCTGCCTTCTGCTCAAATCCCATAAAACAAGCGTGCTGTCCTCCAACACAGCCCTGATGTCCTGTCACTCTCGCCCTTGGTTTCTTCCAGGCCCAAAGTTAAGAGGAAGACGGCTGACAGCGGTGTGGTACAGCAAGATGGCAGTGAGAAGAAAAAGGAAGAGGGCATCCTGGACCTGTCCAAGGACATCAAGACCATCGGAGTGAAGGTTCGAGGCGGCCACAAAGCCAGGGGAATCCTGAAAGGGTTCAACCCCTGCCTCAATCTCATGTTGGCCGGCACCCTCAAATACATGAGAGACCCTGACCACCGGTACAAGCTGACAGAGGACACGAGGCAGCTGGGCCTGGTGGTGCACAGGGGCACATCGGTGGTGCCCATGCAGGACACCACAGAGGCCATTCCCAGGCCTTTCAGCAGCAGCAGGATGTCTGGGGGGACACCTTCCCTAAAAGGACCTTCTTTAACCCCTTCATCCAGGAGCAGGGTGTGAGGGGGCATGGGGGGGACATGTGTCCCCATAGGGACCATCCCCAACCAACACTTTCAACAAGCAGCAGGACACTTGGGGGGGACACAGCAAGAACTCACCCTCTCCCCTGTAGGCCCACCAGATAGAGCCCTTTTTTTTAATACTTTATTACTAAAACTCCAAAACAAAAGTAAAAAGAGGAAGACAGCCCACGCCTATCAGCAATAGATTGTCATCGGGCACAAAGCTCAGAGCAAGATAAGGCTGGTCTTGGCCTCGGGGAGCCGCAAAGCAGCTGCTGACACAGCTACGCCAGAGCCCGGACCACATCGCGAACACCTCGCTGCAGCCTCTCAAGGGTCACACTGTGCTTTCTCATCCCGACTCTCGGCGGCCGGCCTCCCACAGCCAAGGCTCGTCCTTCCACACACTCCAGAGCTCAACTTCCCACTCCTTACGTGTGGAGGTCTAGGACCCTTTCCTTCCAAAGAAAGAAAGAGGGCGAGGAGAGCATGGTGGAGCCACCTGACGGACACTCCCCGGCCCGGTGACTCAGGTCAGTATCAACAAGAACTCCTGAAGGTATGAGGAGGGACCCACGATACGGAGAGACAACAGACAAACCAAAATACTGAACCCACTGCCAGGCTGACTCAGACTAACAATCTGACAGACCAGAACAGCACTGCCCACAGGTTTCCAAGGCTGTTAATTCCGATGGCAGAGTCCGCAGGGAGTTGGACTGGCATCCCAAAGGCCCTGAATCTCTAGTGATTCAAATTCACCAGCGGCTCCTGGGAGAGAGATGTGAAGTCTCCTCCTGCGCCATTTATGGCCTCGGAAACCCGCTGTCAGTTAGGAGTCAGTTTCAACTTCATGAGGAGAGATGTTTACAGAAGCTGATTGCCACATCTTTCTTCCACAGAGCAGCTGATGGGTTCGAACCACTGACCTTTTGACTAATAGTAGAGTGCCTTGATTATTGCACCATCAAGGCTCCTGATGAGAATGGCATTGGCTCAACAAGCCATAACATCAATCTAACCACAAGAAAGACATGAAACAAACCCTACCGGAGGGATAGTCTATGATGCTGTCAACACTGTAAAAGTCACCAAAAACAAGCAAAGTCTCAGGGTAGAAGATAAGTGTTGACCAAAAGTCAAAAATCACAGGAATGGCCAAGGCTTACTGGTCTGATGGAGACTGCTGGACCCCTGAGACCACGGACCTTAGCTGCCCTTTGACTCTGGAATTAAAGTCACTGCTGTAACAGAGCTTAGAGCCAAATAAGGGACGGATTTACAAGATGAACAATAATACGAGGACAGGAATTCTGCCCCTGGCACCTTCAACCCCACATGACCCAAGGGTAGACAGTGACCATGAGTTACACTCAGGAGGGAGAAGAGAGAGGAGGGATTGATGGAAAGAGGCCCCACAGGGAGATGGACAAGAGTGATGTCACACAGTGGAGACTGCAGTCAACGTCCTAAAACAAAGCGTGCAGAAATGGCTAAATGGGAAACCAAGCTGTGCTAGAGACCTTCAATCGAACCACAATAAACAGTTAAAGAAATAAAATCTGAGGAAGTATCACAGACAAGAGAAACGTAAGGAAGCATGCTGGCTAGATGTCTGGTGATACCTCTGAGGGCGTCTTGGGCCAGGGAAAGAACATGAGGTCAAAACGAAAAGAAATTTCAACGAAGTATTGACTTTAGAGAAGAGTAACGCATTAGCATCACATCATTAACTGTGGCAAATGCACCATACAAAACACCAGCTGCACCCAGTCGGTTCTGGCCCCTGGTGACCCTGCAGGACCCAGCAGAACTGCTCCATAGGGTTTCTGAGGCTGTAAATCTTAAAGGAGTGCAAACAGCTTCCTCTTTCTCCCACAGAGCGTTTTGTGGACTGGAACTCCCCACCTTCCTGTTCTCTGACCACTGTACCACCAGGACAAGCCATCAGTAACAGAGGACACAGTATGAACTCTCGACTACCTCTGCAACTTTTCTGTCAATCTGAAAATGGTCCTTAAAAAAATAAAGTTTATTTAAAAGGGGGGGAGAGTTAGGAGGGAGGGTCTCCAGTGCATTTCACTGTGGTCATTCAGACACCCCATATGGCAACCACCAAGCCCCACGTGCCAAGAAAAACTATAAAAAGTGCCTCCCATCAGATTTGGCTTGGAAACTATTCCCCCGGAAATCCCTCCTAAAAAAAAATAAAAGAGAAAAAATGTTTTCAATAATTAAAAAAATGTTAGCTGATTGGGAATCTGGGAGGGGTGGAAGTATTAGTTCCCTGCAAAACATGACTTTAATCTTAACCAACACAAAGGCCAGTGATGGGAGCGGGATCATTTGCAGATCCTTAATTGTATCTTTTCAAAGAGAACGATGGGCTCCAGATTGCAACTCGAGAAGACCAGTCTCCTAATTACTTCCATCTCCAGCCAAACGCCCAATGATTACTAATTACTGTCTCTGGGTCTCTAAACCAAGGGTAGACCTCAAGTTATAAGTTAAGACCCTCACCTAGGGTTGCCAAGAGACACACTGGGGGCGGGGGGGAAGAGGGACAGGACACAGCGGAAAAAGCAAGCTACCAGGTACCCGAAAGGCTTCCCCCTACCCTCCGGGCTCCCTGCCCCTTCCTACCCCCACTGCAGGCCAGCAGCCAGCAAAGCACGGAGTGGCAGGACAGTCAAAAATCAGGAAGCCTGGTTGGGATTTGTGTGTTTTTTTCCAGGACAACCCGCTCACCATAAAAACAGCGATTTCGCGTGTGCCCCAGCTCACTCCTCCCCTCTCTGCTGAAGCCCCTGCTACACGGTGATCCATGAGTTTGGCGCAACTTGGCGAAGTACCCAACCCCGTGACACAGGGCCACTTGGAGGTGCAGACTGGCCATCAGTAAAGCAGGAATAGCGTCTTTTGGGGATCCCCGCACCAGCTCCCCACGCACGCCCTTAACACACTATCACAGGCCAGGGGCACGCGAGGATTGCATCATTTCGAAAAGTGCAAGCAGATCTGCTCGGGGTGACTGGGTTGAGAACATAGCAGCCACTAGGCCCAGGGAGGAAATGGGCCGGCCTCCCAACTACAGTCAAGCCACCCTCAGTATTCGACGCAGACAACCTCTTCCTTCATGTCAGCCCCAAGTCGACAAGAAGCCAGGCTCCCTGACCTGGCCCGTTCTTATTAAGAAGGGCACATTCTTACTAAGAGCCTGGGGTTGGGGGGCAGCCTCACCTGCCCTGATAATCAGGTGCTGCTCAAACCTCTTTCGCACAGGTTCCCCTCCCCACAAACTCAATTCCTTCGCTTCCTCATCTCTTCCCCTCAAAAGCAAAGCAGTGCAGCCTCCCCGGCCCAGCCGTGGTCCTGCACCCTTTGGCTTGGCCAACAGTGACCCTGAAGGCAAACCTCGCGAATAACTCGAACCTGCAGCCCCAACACGGGGCAAGGTGCGTCCGCCTCCCCCTAGAGGTAGAAGCAGCTACGACAGCCTCACCCCCGCCTATCACCTGGGCAGGGAGGGGGACGTCTCCCACCCGTATCCTCCCCCAGGAAGAGCGGCATCTGGAGCCGAGAGGGGCCCTGGGCCCACTCCCCAGTGCCAAGCCCGGGCTCGGGGCCCGGCAGGGGCCCGGGGAGCCTCCACCGACCTTCGATGGGATTCAAATAGTCATAGTCATAGAAGAGGATGGAGAAGTCGAACTCGTCCTGGGGGCCGTCCCCGGGCTCGTGGCCAGGGGCGCCCCCGCCGTCGAGGTCGGGCTGCAGCTCCCGGGCGTCCATGGCGGCGCGCGGCGGGCGGGCAGGCTCGGCGTCCTCCGACCCGGGTTCGGGGCCCCTGGCCGGGGCTGGGGAGGGCGG